AAAAAAGAATGAGACTACAAGAGTTAAGGTAACAGAACATTTGGGAAAGAGCATTCATCGAATAATTAGATTCAATTTTTTGCTACATGTTGAAATTAAAATTAATTAAATTTTACTTCCTAACTTTAAGAAAGCTAATTTTGAGACCGTGAGAAAATATTCATAATTACTAGATTGGGACAATGATTTAAAACTTGATGTGGAACAGATATAAGAATTAAAAAAGAAAAAGATTTTAATACAAGATAGGCATGTTCCTAAAAAGAAGAAACAGATAACAAGGAAGCTCAAATCAAGGATGATATTTATCATACCACAAGTAGGGAGTCTCAGAGAATTATAGTTCCCGGGCCAGGGAAGCGTGTGACTACAAAATTGCATTGTGAATATACAAATCTCATATAAATAAAATACTAATTATTGTACACCAAACAACAAATGGAAAATGTCTACAGCACTAATACATGCTGAATTTCCATGTTTTATTTCAAAGCAACCATACTCTGACTAGTTTAAAATTGGCTCTAAAAAACATCACAAAGATTGCTAAAGCCATCACCTGCCATTTGTCAGCGACCAGCGAGCAAATGTTAAAACCGAAACCAGGGTGTCGGTTCGAATTGGCTGGACCAATAAGGACCAGTCATACATCAAACAATAGCTCTCTTCATGCTCTACTTTGATCTGGCTGGTTGCATGAAATCCAGAAGCAATTACTATTTGAAAACACACAAATAAAACTTTAAAACCATTTAAAATTCTTTTTAGTCACTGAATTAATAGAAACAAGGGTAAACAATAAACTTGGTGTTGCATACTCTGTAATGCATAAACAGATACATTGATATGTCTGCCAAAATTGAACCAACAGCATGTCAAAAAATAATAAATGTGGATTGTAAACAGCCTATATGTTGCCCTGGCAATATGTTGCTTTACATCATTTCATCAGTCATAAGCACATAAGCAAACTATGTTGTCCTGATATCAGTTTGCTATACGTCATATCGTTGGATGTGGCTACAAAAGATGTATCAATTACATCATGACATGATGTAGAATGGATAGAGATTACTATTAATACATACCTGTCAATCACAGTATTTCAAGTTTATAACCAATGTGTTTACAAAATCTCACCTATTCTTTCATAAGTACATAGGTAAACTCATACTTCATTATTAACATTTGGGTATTGACAATTTTCATTTCATTTATCCAATAATATGAATATATATATGCAAGAGTTTGAAACGGATGGACGTTAATTGGACTATATTTTATCTTGCCTCGACATAGGTGTCACGCAGTATCAGGTTACCAGGGAAAGCGATAAGTCACTAACATTTTGTCAAAATTGTTCCAATGGGAAGGTAGCATGGAGTGATAGGTCGATTTACAGGTATGATTTTTAATTGTTTTTAATTATGAACTTACAGTGTAAATCTATTAATTTGTAACTGCAATCCAATGGTGTGAATTTTTTATTTTCATTATTCAAAAATCACTGAAACCCCTACTCTTATGTTAAAACAAAAACTGATTTTTTAAAGTAAGTTATATTATAATAATTCATCAATCCATCAGCCATAACTGTTGTGTAAGTTACTTATCAAGTATCACAGTACTAAGTTAATAAATGGTTGTTATTCAATTGAATAAAGACAAAACTGTTTTACTTTTAATTTTATTGTGACACATTTAAAAGAGGGATAGTACACAGAAAAAGCAAAAGGCATTGTCCATAAACTACGTCTATACTACAGTCAGCGTTTCACTGCTTTTAGTTTTAAGTTTACGTATACAATATACAATAAACTATGGTAAGGCTTAAGTTGTCTTAACCTAAGCCTACACAAAGGCTTTTACTGATTTAGTACTGAGCAGTGTGGATAGGATTTCTAATTAAAATATTTTCCCCAGTGACTTACAAGATTAGCTGTAACGACGAGTTGTAACAGTGAATAACATATAATACAATAAATATGTATTACTTACTTTTAATAAGTTTCTTTTGTGTATCATTTACAGCCGGTGGTTTATCCATGGAACTTAAAATCGAACCTAGAAGGTCAGCCATTTTTAAAACTTCCCTCACCTCCAAGTTCCAAATTTAAAAACGCTAATATTATAATATTATCATTGGTGATCATTCATGATATAATTGAAAATATAATTTCATTTAAAATAAATTTTTACTCCGAAGATTTAAGTCTTTATTAAGTTTCTCGGACTTTCTTCCAATTACTGATTTTATATTAATGTTCCAATATTAGTTAATACACTACAAACACACCTGATGTCTATGTTATATTAAAAATTTACAAGCTAGATATTTTTTCTATTATTGTTGTTGTAATATAGATGTTAGCTAGAGGGCGTACCACATTAAGATCAATTTGTCCCAGAATATTTTTGGAATATTAATAAATGAGAAGTTTGCGAAATATTTAGAACAAGGACTGGATTATAAATGCAAGTGAGCCAACCAATTAGCTAGGTAAGCTGGCCGTGAAACAGCGAAACAACAAGAAGATAGAGAGTAGTAAATAGCCAGATTGAATCAGTCAGAATGTTTATGTTTTTGGATTTGTGTTACCAGGACTGGACGTTAAATTATTTTCACCGATAATTTTTAAAAATCTGCCAACAAA